ACGGCGTGAAGACTGGGGGCTGTGGGTGAGCGAGGAGACAGGCCCCCTCTCCTGCCGCTGCCCCCGCCAGGTCACCTCCATCCACGGGACCAAGACCCAAGACCCCTCCCCAGCTGCTGGGGCCCAGGGGCCGCCCGCCGCCCGCCCTGATGGTGCAGGACCCCGGAAGCTCCAGAGACCTCAGAAGGCAGCCAGAGGGAGCCAGCTTCATGCAGCCGGGCCGGCCGCCCTCCCCGCCCACGTGGCTCGCTCCCTGGACGCCACCACCAGGGGACTAGCAGAGCGAGCCCTGCCGCGGGCCTGGAGTCGCCTCACTGCGCTTGGCGTCAGTTACATTGAAACGTTTAACGTGAGGCCCCAGGACACATCGCAGAGCCCACACATGGTCCCCCCACACTTTCATGTAAATGAGCAGCTGGGATGCGAGGTACACACGGCCCCTCGCACTTACACCGGGGTTCACTGCCCACACGGCCCTCTCCTCTCCAGACACGAGCTCTGTTCCTGTCTCTCCCGTCCTCCCTCGCCCTCCCTTCCCGTCCCCCACCCTTACCCAGTGCCCCCTGGAAACTGAAGGAGCCCCCCCTCAGCAGGTAAGACAAGGGCCTCAGACGCAGAAGCAAATTCCTTAAGAGGGGAGAAGCGGGGAGACAGGAGGCCGGGAGGAGGGTTGCCTGGGCAGGGAGCACACGCCCTGGGCCGGCTGCGGCGGGAATTAGGTTAGACTCCTCCTCCCTGCGTTCCCGCAGCCTCCTCCCTGCGCCCGGACGGGTGTGCAGAACATGGGATGAGGCATCTGTCACATTCTGCCCCGGACTAGAGAACGTGTCAACAGTGCGAGGGGCTCTGCGTATTAGAGTCGGGGTCCTGGAGGGGGGGAGTGAGCAGGAGGAGGCATGAGGGTCCTTCTGGGGGGGACCTCCAGTGTCCCCCCACGCGCCCCCCCAGGGCACCCTCACAACTGGCCCAGCGCCCTTCCGCCTGGATCCTGGCACCTCCTACATAGAAACCCCGCACCCCCTCCGTCCCTCGTCTGCACTGTCCCACCTCACACTCAGCACCGCCCAGTGTTCACGGAGCTGGTGCTGGTGCAGCGGCCGCGCTGGCCCGTGTCCTCTGAAGGTCCCGGTCCTGGGAAGCGGCCGTGTCACCCCGCCTATCAGGGGAGGGAAGGAAGGCCCGGGAGGGCTCGGAGGTGGGATAAACTCACTACCTGTAGCTTGGATGGCTGATACCCTGACGTTCCTGCCGGGCCTTGGGCCTCCGCAGGTTTAAAGAGGTGGATGTGAAGGCGAGGGGATGAGTGTAACGGGGCACAGACGGCACAATGAGTGCCCCCCAGAGCACCCCTTCGATGACAGGACGGGGAGCCAGTCAGCTGAGCCGGGGGTGGGGGGTGTTGAGAGGATGCACTTCAAAGAGAGATGTCCGACGGCCCCAGTGAGGTTGGGACGGTTCCGGTGAGTTGGGACAGAGAATGGGGACCAGTATAGACTGATGAACGGGGATAGATGCAGAGGCAGAGCAGCATTGAACAGACTGTCCAACTACAGTGGGAAGCCTGGGGAGGGTTTGGGGGGGTGTTAAGAGATCAACCGAAGGACTTATATGCATGCATATAGGAATAACCGGTGGACACAGACACTGGGGGGTGGGGGCCGGGGGAGTGTCAAGGGGTGGAAAAAAGGAGACATATGTAATACTCTTTGTAATACTTCAAGAAATAAAAATTATTTTAAAAAAACACAAAAAAAAACAAAGAGAGACGTCTGAGAGGAGCAGGGAAAGCCCACTTGCCTCAGTTTCCCCCCTGGCTCTGCTCCCCTTTCCCACGGCTGAGCAGAGGCCGCGTGGCGCACTGAGCCAGCGGCACTGCCTGCACGCGCCCAGGTCGGGAGGAAGGAGCAGCCCCCACGTGGGAGGAGGCTGCCGGGCCACCACCCCGCGCACCACATGTGACCTCTCCCACCCGAACACGGCCGTGGCTCTCCTTCCCCAGCGGCACACAGCCGGCCGACGGGGAGCCGGTACACGCGGGGCCGCCTGTCCCCAAGGCCCATGCTCTGAACCTCCGCCCACTGCCTTGCAAGCAGCATGCGGGCAAAGCCGTGAGACCCTGACTGTGCCTGGGAGCTCAGAGATAGGCCTGCCCTCTGCCCCCTGCTGTGGCCACAGCCTGGGCCACAGGCACAGAGAGCCTGGATCTCAGACGCAGGAGTCACATTCAGACCCCACCCCCACCCCCACTAACGAAGCTACACCGGCAGCTTCTCCGACGCCTGGGCTGGGCCACGTGGCTCAGAGACCCTCCCCTGCTGAGAGCCCGGGCGAGAGGAACGGGGTGACCACGGCCAGGACCAGGTCCAGGCGGCATAGGGTCCCATAGCCCAAGCCGAGGCCCCTCTGCCCCCATGTCCACGCGTGAGGCGGCAGGATGCCTGGAACAGGGCCCCGGGGCGCCCTCCTCCCTGCTGGCTCTCAGGCCTCGGTCCTCACCCACAGACACGCACTCCCACCCCACGGCCTCTCCCCAGCGGTACCTTCGGTGCGGATGGTGAACGGGGAGTCGCCCGGGCGCCGTGCGGAGAGCTGGCCGCCCAGAGACGTCATCAGGAAGCAGAGCGAGAAGAAGCCGATGCCGAGGACGAAGAGCCTGCGGGGAGCAGCGGGGTCAGGGC